GTGTTGCCCTGTGTGCTCACTGGCAGTGGGACTGTGTCCATCCAGGGGCTCAGGGGAGCACTCCCTCCATGTCACTGACTCACAGCAAACACAGCAAACGCAGGTCAGGCTACAGAAAACACTCCCAGCGTTGTGGTATCCATATATTTGTACATACAGTTGAAGTTACACCTTGTGCCAGTGTTATTCCACATCCTGCCCAGACACCTTGCAAGGTAAAGGTCCCCAAGACCTTTTATTCTTTTTATGTTTATGGGCAAGATTCACCCAGAGACCTCAAGCAATTGGCTCCAAAAAATCCCCTCTGCCCAAAGTGTGTGTGCCACGTGTGGCAGGTGCTCACACCCTGCCAGCCCCAGCCTGGCCCCTGCCCTGACACACCACGGCCAGGGACTGCAGCTGTGTTCTGCAGCTCCACTGCCCTGCACCCTTGGCATCAGGACTGCAGAGAACAGGGAAAGGGGGTTCTGCTCAAAAAGTGACTGGTGCTTTGCAAATTAAACAAACCCAGAGCTGCCTGGAGGTCTGACCCCCTCCCAGGACCGTTCAAGTCAATCACTAATTTGATTTATCAGCGAGTTCAGCCCTTACCCAGGATCAGGCTGAGAGAGCAGGTGAGTATTGTGTCTAGTAAGTCATATATGTGTGCATGTGGGTGTAAAAGTCAGCACCATGCCCAAACCATGATGTTACAAAGTCTTTTGACTCGTATTGTTAATCAGGATTGTAACAATCTACTCTCAAATGCAGGGGAGGATCAGGCAGAAATAACAACACCACCGCTGCGGTTTCAAATGTCACATTTAATGTTTTCACCACTGTACTCCAAATCTACATTTTACAAAGTGACCAGCAAGTGTGCCACATTAACTGACCAACCTCTGAGATTTTACCTTTCATACCAGTGTCTTCTGGGGCTCGTTAATTAAACACGTTTCTCATTCAAGTGAATTGAAATGCTTCTGTTGGTTTTATTCTCAGGAGCCTCATAAAAAACAAAGATATTGCACCATCTTTGTTCAGTTATTCAATGTTTGTCTCTTTCACAGCAAATAATTACTTCATTGAAGTTAAAACTTCCAAACATAACTTACTAATAGTCTCCAATTCCAGCTCAGATCACTCTTGTTGAAAATACTCTGCTAAATACAGATAACTTACAATAACTTTAACAGTTAATTGTCCATAACAAACACCACGGTTTCTCTCCAGACCAAGGCTCAAATTTTAAGACCACCCTTTAGTATTCCTTTGTACAGGTGAAAAACAGTCTTCAATTTTCTAGTCTTGTTTTAAATACAAAAGTTGGAAGGGACATTCAAGTTTCAAGTCTCCACACTGAACTTAAAAAAAAAAAAATCATGTGGAGGTAAACAAACCAAGTTGTATACTCCAGGAGGTAGAGGCCTTCAATTTGTGTTCATATATACATATGCACAGAATTCAGTGTTCCAACAGAAAAAGAATTAGCCAAAAAGTAATAAAAGTTATTTACTACTGTGACATTTCAAGACTTCCACAGCTTTGCCTAAAGACACAAACACAATTAACAGAATTCCCTATGTGCTTTTTTTTGTCCTTTTCTTTTTTTTTTTCTCTCAACTGTCCAGTGCAGGAAAAAGTTCTCACAAAATTTCACAGACCTAAAATGTGCAAGCTAGTTTCTCTCTATACAGCAATGATGTCAGGGATCTCTGAAATTAGCTCATAAATGGAATTATTTACACACATAGAAGATGCATGCTGGGGGGTTTTATGTAAGAAAGAGCAGAAAAACTTCTAATAAAAATAGATTAAATATATATATATATTTATACTGGGTAAGGAAACAGAAGTTTCATCTCTCCTAGTCACAAACTCATTCTCTCTACTCACAACATTTGATTTTAGAACAGCACACATCACCATCACAGCTCTAGTGAGAAGCTATTTATAGGGTTTGGGCATCAGGGGACGTGGCCACTTCCCGTGGTCACAGCCCCCCAGAGGGACTTCATGATTGGTCGCAGTCAAGTTTTCTGTATTCCTTAGTTTTAGAAAACCCAAAATCTCCAGGAATGGCTCAATATCAAAATGTATGTCTATCTGTTTGTACAATCTCACTTCAATTAAAAAAAAAAAAAGAAAAAGGAAAAAGAAAAAAAGAAAAAACCTCCCCGAATTTGGTTCAATTCTGTTTGTTCTGAGCTGAGCCATCACAGCTGCACTAGAATTCATAAAACACGTGCAACTCTGGGTAAAATATTTTCTTCTAAAAGCACAACCACTTTACAAGATTAAAAGTCTAGTACATTTCTAAATATTATTCATATTGTACAAGTAGTGGTTGTTATTTTAAAACTTCATTAGTAAAATTACAGTACAAGCATGATTAACCTCCAGAATTGCAAATCCCAGGCTCCAGTGGAAAGCTACATTACATCTTCAGTAGTAGGTGAGCCCCACGTCACTCCCACACCAGCGGAGACGGCGGCATCTCGGAGGGCTGGGCGACCGTGGAGCTGCAGGGCAGGACACACAGAGCTCGTTTGCAGGAGCACACAGCCAGAACCTCAGGGCTGGGCTGGAGGGCAACCAGGAGAACAGAACCCCCCCAGAGCACAGTGACCCCCACAGCAAACCCTGCCCCACCTTCTATCTGCCTGCTTGCATTCCTTCTAATGCTAATTCTGCAATCAGACCCAACTTGCTGACCTTCCTATTCTCATTTTCAGTCTGACTTCTCTTCTTTTACACAGTAAAAGTATTTGAAACTTTTGCACGTTTTATTTAAATTCTAGAAGAGTTCATATAAATAGTTTACCAGGGTTTTATCTACAGGTCTTTCCTACTCTCAGGGAAAACTGAAAATGTAAAACATTCTCAATGTGCAAATTCTGTACTACTAATAAATGGGAATTAATATCAGATGTGATTACATACAGTTACCTAATAAAGCTCTTAAAAGCAGCAGACTGAGGGTTGATGCAGAGAGGCACTCTGTTTCCTTTCTGCTGTTCCAAAATGAACTGATGAATTATTTCTGTACACAGGAGAAAAACACAAAACACCACAGCATTAACATTTCTGGCTTCAGTAAAATGCAATGAAGATGGGGGGAATAAAGGTTTCCTTACTGAGAGTGCATTTTAGTGAGGATAAAAGAGCTCCAGCTTCCCTAAATCTCAGCTTCAGCTCCTGGAAGCTGCTGCCTCTTTCTGCAGCACAGCTGTGGAGGTCACAGCTCGTACCCCAAAAAGGCCACACCACCGATTTCCCCTTCCCCCAGTGCCACCACTCAGTAAAAGGATGAGGAACAGGGCACTGGGGACAGTGCTGGTAAGGTTTGAAACCCACAGACCTCTGCATGTCAGCCTGTGCTTGTGCCACTGTTATGTCAGAACATTGACAATTCTGTTCTTTTAGTGAAAAGAAATTGTTTCCAGTGTCTACTATGGAAAAATACTTGAAAGAAACCAGCCCTGGGGTTAGTGCACACTGGGGTGAGTTGTGGGAGGGGGGCTTGGACTCGGAAATTGGATTTCTGGGGGTCTCAAACCACCACACAGATCCAGAGCACACATCCCAGCTACATCCCAGCTCCACCCTGCTGAGGGGGGAGCAGCAGGACAACTGCACATCCAACCTCAACCCCTACTCACCTTTAACCTGCCGAACAGAACTGAGGTTCTTTTCAAAAGTGTCATCAAATTTGGGATTAGTGATGGGTTCAAAATCACTCGTATAAACTCTTCCAGTGGATGTGGAAAAACAACATTTACACATACAGGTGTGGTACCGCAACCGCCCCTCGTCGAGATAGGGGTGAGCTAAGGCATCCTTAGCAGATATCCTTTTGGACTGCAGAGAAACACAGGACAGAAGAGGGAAAGGAACAGTGAGGAGACTCCAGGGGTATTGAAACTACTCATCGATTAACTGCCAGTGGTTCCTTAACCCCCAGTCCTGTGAAGGACCCAGTTCATGTCCCGCTGTCTGGGAGCTGCAGGAGCTGCCACTAGAGGGGAGCTGTGGCTCAGGAACCAGCCCGGCTGGGATGGCACCGACCCTCCCGTGCCACAGCCCCGTGGAACGGCTGCTAATGGCAGGGCTGGAAACACCTTTTCCAATAGTTACTTTTGCCAGATAACCTCACGATTATGACCCCTACAATAAATCAAAACAAGCCGGGAATAACAGCATTCTAAGTGCTGAGGGAGTTAGAAAGGAAAACTTTAAGGTTTTTTATACGGAAGTTATAATTTAACATTTCCATGGTTCTGTTCAGCAAAGCAATCTTAAGGTTTAAAAAAAATAAACCCCAAAGCCAGTGCCTTCTGAGTGCTTCATCAGCCCCTGGCCTCCTCCTTTGCACTGCAGTCACTGCCTGGTTTTTATTTGCAATACTGGGGGGAGGTCTGTGAGAATGAAATAATTAAAATTATCAATTCTGGTATCAGATTTTCTAATGACAGTTCTCTGTAGTGTCCCTAGAGATGAAATCCAAAATTCACAGAACCACATTTTTATTATAAAAACCGTGGAAAAATGATCCTGTTCTGTGACTGGGGATGCAGGAGGAATTTTCTGTGTGTTGCAAGACCGGGAACACCCCCGTGTCCCTAATTAGAACTGCATCAAAGTAGCTGATGTTCTGCTACCTACACCCAGCTCGGAAAAGAGCATGAGTCACACACCCCCTCCCCCGTCAGCAGCTTCCTTCACAAGACCACTCAGCTTTAAATGTGGAACCCCCATTCCAGGGGAAATTCATTGGCCCATTATGACATTTTTACGTCTTTTACAGACCAAAAGTACTGCAATGCCATGTAGAAGGAAACCAGCTAAAGCAGTCCTTGACTCAAGACACTCATTTAGGTACCAGACAACAAAAACTGTTCAAACCAAAAGTACTTGAGATAATTTTCAGTCATACTTACTGGATCAAAGACCAACATCCTGCAAAGGAGATGAACTGCTTCATGTGTAGCTTGACTGGAGAGTGTATATAGGACAGGAAGGGATGGCTGTAGGGGGAATGGGAGGAAGAGAAGCACAGAGTGTCCTGTCAGATCCATCAGCAGGAAAACCCTGTTCCAGCACACGCTATTCCGTAGTCATCAAGGACAAACTCCTTGTTAAAGAGGACACACGGTACCCAACCCTTCCCAGCCTGACAATAACCCACCATTACAGAACCCAGCAACTGCAATAAAGATCTAATGGATCATTTTTCCCCTTAGTTCAGATGTAATCCCTGGACAAACTTATATTTTATTTATTTTTCTGCACAGACACCACTCATCACTCCCAGCTGTAGCTGCTCAGGGGTTTGATTAACCCTTCATTTCCAGTTCATTCCTCTGATCTCAATCACTCCCAAATTATAAATTACTTTGCTTTTCCTTGCCCAGGCAATCCACAGCTGACTGACAGTGACAGAAGGACTGTACTGGATGTCACAGTTGCTGTAAATTTCCCAGTATAAATAAGAATTACACCTCCACAGTGACATCAGCCCAAGTTAACCCTGAACTACCACATGCAGCCCTGAGCACTTCTCAGACTTGGTTTCTCAGGGCAGCCTATGGAATATGAAGCTGTAATATTTGGTAACTTCATCTCATTTTTCTAATTCCTAAGTACCATCCACACACAAAAGCACTGTGGGCCAAGCACTGTGATTACACAGGTTTCATCCATATGATGGAGCAGAAAAACAGTATTACATTCCTTATTATGGAAGCTGTTGCATCCAACAGAAATGAAGGACTCCCCTTTTTTTGGCTACATTTATGGCCCTTGACAGCAGCTTGTCCTGCCACCTCAGAAGCACCTGGTTAGAGACAGTTCTTGGGGACAGCACTCCCTCAGCCAGAGCTGGGAGCAGTCCTGCGGGAGCACTGCCCGGGCATTGGGAACTGGGAAAATGGAATTGCACTGGGATTTGATTGCCATGGAATCAGTGGTCAGCCTGTCAGCAAGGAAGGAGCATCCTCCTCCTGGCTCTCCCACAGCAGAGGGCAGGAGCACAAAGAGGGGCAGAGATTCCAAAGGCTTTCCTTGGGAAGGGGGTGAGCGGAGCCGGTGGGGACAGCCCGTCACCCCGGGGCTGCTGGGGCTGCTGCATTAGCTCACTGAGCCTGAAGGGAAACTTCCAAACACCAGGTGACAAAGAGGCCTCTGGAGCATGGCAGTGCCCACTCTGCCAGCACACAGTGCTGGGGGGTTAATCAGAACCTTCCTGCATTAATCTATTTTTACACAGAGCAGCAAAATGCTTCACCCTCCCCTCCCACTGCACTCACCTACGGCGAGTAAAAATAGTTGGTGTGACAAAGTAATCGCCTGTATCTAACTTGGTTTCTCTCCCTATTAGTCCAATTAAGAAACTGGTAACTTTAACTGTTTATAACCACAGAAAGGTCCATTTCAGAATACGAAAAGCCAGGAATTTGCATTCCAACATGAAGTTTGCTTCAAGCTGAAACCAGAGAAATACCATTAATCACCTGGATGCTCTGTATCCCCTAGTTCCAAGTTGCAATGAGCACACCAGCTCCAGAGACTGCTCAGCTCCTGTGGCAATCCATGGAAAATGAACCTTGTTTTCCCCAACTGACACAGAACTAACTCTTAGAGTGCATTTCCTACAACTTTGTGCCTAAAGGACATTATGTCTGTACTGGAAGCTTTTTATACCATTTCACCTCACTTGCTTTTTAGTATTCCCATCATTCTGTGGGTCATGAGACACTGGGTTTCAGAGGTACAACTCTTCTAGCACATGGTAGCAGAAAAACATACTTGATTTGTTTTAAAACTGGTAGAGAAAGTCTGTAGGAAATCCTCCTATTATTAATGCTCAAAGAAAAAAATCCTGTCATGAAATGGAATAGAGACAACTTGATGTAATGAATGCAAACTGCCAAGGAGGCAGAACTCCCACATGTCAATAATAAGGGAGAATATACATGCAATGCTCATTTCTATGGTAACTACTATTGTGGTGAACAGACATGTGAGAAATTACTTCAACATGCAGAAAATAAAGATGCAAACTTAACTACTGGAAAGATCTGATGTACAGGTCAATGATTTTGTAATTTTTACTAACAATCATAAAAATGACCATACTGGATGGCCACACAGCTCTATTCCTGCACCAGGGATGCCTGCACAAGCATTTCTTTGTTATAGTGACAGCATTTGCACTTTTTATTGCCCAGTCAGAACAATGACACCGTCCTACCTTTTTTTTCCCTTGTTTGCTTATTGTCTTTTTTTAAATTAACTTTTACTTCAGTTGTGCTGTATGCTCTATCTCAGCTTTCAGTCTCTTGTTGACCCTTCCTGAGCAGCTCAGGTCAGCACACAGGTGTGCAGGGACCCTCTGGGGTTGGGGTTCTGCCCTCAGCTCTGGGACACGGACAAGTTCCAGCTCTAACACTCCTGATCCTGGCAGTGCAGGACCCCTCAGGGCTTCCTGGTTATACTGTCAATTTTCATTTATTTTCATTTACGTCTCTTGACAATACTATCACTTAAATTTAACATCTTCATTCAAAATAGCTATCAAAACACTGTCACTTCAGAAAGGGAGACTTTCACCTGTGTCATCGAGTCAAACAATACACTGAAGGCAGAACCCAGAAATGCACTTCACTAGTGAAAACTCACCCTGTCTTCACAGTAGTTGGACTAATTACACCACTAACCCCCGTCACTGCAGCACCACAACCACTGCTGGCAGTTTAACCCTGGTTAACAGGCAGAGACAGCTCTGGGACTGAATGTCCAAACGAAGCATTTACAACAAATGGGCCCTGAGAATTTAACCAAGCTGTGAAACGCTGTGATGCTGCAGCAGGAGCCCTGCCCACAGGGAATGTGACTCGTGGGGCTGATGAAGGGTCCCCTGGCCCAGTGCCCAGCCCCTCCAGGTACCTGTTTATGAGGACCCCTGAGTATGTGTGCCTTGGCGCCTTCGCACGCCGTCCTCATGGCCTCCAGCGACGGCGTGCCCAGCAGGTCTGTGATCAGGTCCAGCTGCAGGGCAGAGCACACAGGTGTCAGTGCATGGCCCTGCCACTGCACACTGCTCAGGTAACACAGGACACACATGTCAGTGCATGGCCCTGCCACTGCACACTGCTCAGGTAACACAGGACACACATGTCAGTGCATGGCCCTGCCATGGCACAATGCTCAGGTAACACAGGACACATGTCAGTGCATGGCCCTGCCATGGCACAATGCTCAGGTAACACAGAACACACATGTCAGTGCATGGCCCTGCCACTGCACACTGCTCAGGTAACACAGGACACACATGTCAGTGCATGGCCCTGCCATGGCACAGCTCAGGTAACACAGGACACATGGGTGTCAGTGCATGGCCCTGCCATGGCACAGCTTGAGGTAGTTCCCTCTCCTCCTGTCCCTTGTTCCCTGGGAGCAGAGCCCGACCCCCCCTCCTGTCAGGGAGCTGCAGAGCCAGAAGGTTCCCCCTGAGCCTCCTTTTCTCCAGGCTGAGCCCCCCCAGTTCCCTCTCACCAGACTTGTGCTCCAGCCCCTTCCCCAGCTCCACTGCCCTTCTCTGCACTCGCTCCAGCCCCTCAGTGCCTTCCTTGAAGCGCATCAGCCCCGCTGACTCCAGGAAATGACAGTGGAGAAACGCTGAAAGGGGAGCACAAGGATACCTGCTGGATGGGACTCTGTGCCTGGAACAATATCCTTCGGCCAAGCAACTCTGCAAAGATGCAGCCAACAGACCAGATGTCGATGGCATTGCTGTAGTGGCGGCTGCCCATCAGGATCTCCGGAGCGCGGTAATACTGAGTGACAACTTCCTGAGTCATGTGCCGGGATTCGTCTAATTCTTCCACCCTGGCCAATCCAAAATCACAAATCTAAATTGAGAAGGTAAATAAAAAAATTAAAATAACCAAAACACTTTCTGCAGTTCAAATAGGCAACCTTCTGGGGACGAGGCAGGGAATCCCAAACAGCACTCAAACCCAGCAGATAACCTGCTGCCACTGCACGGGGAAAGGGGGGCAGCAGGAAATGATCTCACTTTATTCCACAGCCATTTAACCTGCCTACAATTTGATGTGAAATCACAGTTCATTTTAGGTTGGCACACAGTATTTATAAATACTATTTATAATAGTGTTTTTGCACTACAAAAAACCAACCTCTGGGTACAGAGCATTTCAACCCAAACGAACTTCATTTGTTCATGATATGCCTCTAAATGTTAAAGATTCAGCCTTCTACTCACTCTGGCTTGGAGAATTGTAAAAAATTCCTTGAACCAGAGTGGTTAAGAAAAGAGACCACAATTCCCCAATTAGAATGCTGAGCAAATCCCTGTAAACAACACTGAATTTTTACGTTTGGCACAGCTGTACAACACACCTGAGTCCTCCAAAATTCCTTATGCCTGAGAAGTTAATGGAAGTGTCTCGGGCTTTCAGTGTCATCTTCCTCTGAGGAGAACACGGACACAAACTCCCCCAGAGCCCCTGCCCCTCCCAGCCACCAGCACAGGAGGTCCCACACAAGCCAAACACAGGGACTGTGCCTCTCCTGCTTTCAGAGATTTACGGAGAAGGCAGAAAGGAAGATGTTTGTTTATAATTTTTAAAAAATCTGTGGGATTTTTTCCTTTTAAATTGACTTTCAGGGTAAGTGTTCACATCAACGTTTTTTGTTTAAAAAATTAACAACTGCTCCATAACAACCAGCACATACACAGGGACATCTTCAATAAACGTAAGTAGCACCTTAAGGACACAGTTGCTGTTCACAAGTAGGTTCCCTGGTTTAATGTCTCGATGTAAAATGCCAGCAGAATGTAGATATTTCAGACCTGAAATATTAAAGCAAATTAACATAAATAATTATTTTCCTTTTAAAAGAAGTTTAAGGCTGCCAACAGTTTCCTGGCAACTCCTCATCAGCAAAGACTTTGCCTGAGGCTCAGTTTTTATATGACTCTAACTTCTAGTCTCTAGTGCACACTCAGTCACTCAATGAGAGGGTAAAATTTTGGAGTATATAAACTAGATAGAGCAAGGAATTTATGTATCCTTTTCTTAAAAAAAACCCTCAAACCCAAACCACCTCCTCCCCCCCAAAAAAAACCCAACAAAAAACAAATCAAAAGCAAAACATCATCTCCCTGGTGGTGGGATGAATACTCTGCTAATCCTCACACTGGAATTTTGGCACACACCTCTTACTGCTCTGGTTTTCAGAAACAATTTTGACCTTAGGTGGGTACAGTCACACATATTTACTGACTTGGCTCAGTCCAGGTGTCCTTTTTGTGCCTTGATTCTAAAAGCCTTGATTCTTTCCCCCTGACTATGCTGGAAAGCAGCAAGGCTGCCATGCTCTTGTAGCTACAGTGATGCATGCTTGCTATTTATTCAAATATGAAATTAAAAGAAGTTTCCACGGGAAACTCATTCAAGACGAGGATGCCTTGAGAATAAACATTAAGAAACAGAAAAAATACCACTACTACGGAATTTTCTTTACATTTACAAGAAGAAAAGTTACCTCTTAAAATCTGGTAAAGAAAAACTTTGACATGATCCGAGCTGAGTGGCTGAGGAGAGACGATAATCTTATGGAGGTCGCTCTGCATCAACTCAGTGACAACATATCTTCAGGCATTGGTCAAGGAAAAGCAGAACATCCTGAAACATTTACTAACTCCTACTTATTTGAGCTCTTACAGGTCAGAACTATTGAGGTTAAAGGGAATAAAAGCTGCTTCAGAGGTCAAGCCTCCAAACTCTTACAAGAACGAAAATAAAAAAGGAGTTGTGGAAGAAAACAGGTTAGTCAGTCACAGTGTTTGCATTAAGGTGGTTGTACAAAGTTATTCCAAAGCCAAACTACAGCTCAGAAAACAGAACAAAAGAAGTTTATATAATTAATGGCATCTGGAAACCTTTAAATTTTTCCTTAAGGTTGGTAAGCCACAAATTCCACACAACTGCCGGACCATCCTCACAGTGGACACAGTTCCAGCAGCCCAAGGAGCAGGTGCCAGTCCTCATCCCAAGCACCTTCAGGAGGGTCCCAGGCAGGAATGTGGAGTTTTGAAAATCCACCCCCTTCCCTACATGTACCCAGTGCCCACCCTGTCACTGTCCAAGCATTGTACACACCTGCCCACAAATCCCAACCAGAACTGCTTGGAGTTGTAACAGAAATCATCACAATAAATACTGGGGCACTACATGCATTAAATAACTCCTGCTTTAAAAGCTTAGTTCAGCAGTCATATTTCAAACAAGAGTCTCTGATATTATTACATTTGTGGCTGAAGGAGGTAAAGTGTTAAACTCTACAGCAAGGTATCAAATTTTCTTTCATTTCTACCTAGTCAATGTTCCACTTCCATCTGTTGCTCTGCCAACCCTCTCCAGCCAAATCCCCATTGGCCAAACAGTTCAGCTGCCATCAGCACACCACACAAAAATTCATTTTATAAATTAAATATTGCCAACTTTTTGAGGGAGAAAAAATTAAAATTGCATTCATAAAGAATTCATAAAGAAAAAAACCATCCCTGCAGCACCATAATTTGTAATCCTCTAATTTTTCTTTTCCTGTAGCAAAGACCCTCTTAAATATTTATACCAGGCTTTTAAAATTCGGGGTTTACCTTACAGCTGCAACAAATCCTTACATTCAATTTAACGCACAATATTTTAAAAAACCCAAAAGCATTACTCTGCACTTTATGACGATAAGATTTTTGTTTTGCCACGCCACAAATCCTCCTAAATCTCAATCCCGAGCATAATGTCTCCCAGATGTCTCAACTAGTTGCCATGCCAACTAAAGCAGCTTAAATTAAATGAGGGCCTGAAACGGCACCTGCACCACTCCAGGTCTGGGGCGCATTAAATAAAGCCCTTGACAGGGCTCCGAGGTGCCATTAACCCAGAGCAGCGACCTGATTATTGTCTGGGGATAATTCCATGAGGGCTCTGAGGAGCCGCCGGAGCAGCGCCCGGGATGTTCTGCTGGGACAGACGGGCCGGGGCTTCACCCAGGGCCTGCTGCAGCACAGACCACCAACCCCGGGGGGCTTCACCCAGCCCCTGCTGCAGCACAAACCACCAACCCCGGGGGGCTCCAGCCCCTGCTGCAGCACAAACCACCAACCCTGGGGGGCTTCACCCAGGGCCTGCTGCAGCACAAACCACCAACCCCGGGGGGCTTCACCCAGGGCCTGCTGCAGCACAAACCACCAACCCCGGGGGGCTTCACCCAGCCCCTGCTGCAGCACAAACCACCAACCCCGGGGGGCTCCAGCCCCTGCTCCCACAGGTACCTGTGCTCAGCCCACCCAACAGCAGCGCTGGGGTGGCCCCTGGAGCTGGGACACATGGGTGTCACTGCCAGGGAAAGATTGCTCCTGACAGCAGTAATTAGTTAAGTGGCTGCATAAAATTAGAACTACAAATGTACCGGTTTGCTTCAGAGGGATTATCAGAGCAAATGCGCGGCACAAAAGGACTTCACCTGCTCTGCTGGCCGGGACCTGCTGAGTTGGTAAATGTTATAAAGCCCCAGAACCATTCTGGAAAGGGATGAAGTGCCCTCGGTGATGGGATGCTCTCTGCATGGCTTGGACCCTTCTTTGTTCCACCTCTGCACACCTCAGAACTCAATTCTCCAGCCTCACAAACTAACCCTGCTCAGCTGGTCTGTGCTGGAGCAGGGGACCCTCCCCAGGCTGAGCAGTGCTGGCCCTGGCCCTGTCCCTGTCACTGCCTGGAGGAACCAAACCCGCCCTGTTCCTCTCTGCCCTCCTCCACCCTACAAATATGAGGGATTTACTCCCTAATCCATCAGAAAATAGTTCTTTCACCTCTTCACGAGATCAATGGGCAGGAATTGCTGCACATCTTTGCTTTTACTGGTATTAAAATCTTTCCCAGTCAGTCTAACAGACTGATAAAAGGGGTGTCTTTTCAGCTGCTTCTGATACTCACTTTATTGGGAAAAGTTTTCCAAAAGTTACTATAGAAATTTTGAATAACACCCATGGATCTGCAGTTGCTAAATTCAGTATTACAATCTGTGGAAGACTTTGTAATTGGAAAAAAGAGCTATAAATCACAGAATCATTTAGGGTGGGAAAGACCTTTAAGATCAGAGTCCAACCATAAACCTACTGCTGCCAAGCCAGATCAGTCAAGAACTAACAGTTATGTTCAGTGTAATGAAAGAATTTTTAGATGCTCAAGAAAAATCCAACAGTCACTATTCACCTTTATACCTGATGTGTTTAAAGCTGGGTGAGCCCACCTGGGAAACAGGTGGATGACAGAACCAAAATACTGGCCAGGCTTGGATACCAGGGATTGCACTCCTGCTCCACCAAGGCAAACTGATGATTGCAGGGACAAGCCCTGAACTTCAGCTTAATGACAAACTTAAAAATGAACATGAAAAACCCTAAAATTCACTAACAATCACTTTTTCATGTATTTTCTCAAGACAGACACACAGAATAATATATGGTCCCTTATGTATTCATTTTTGCCCTAGGTGATATTGGCAAAAATATCAATACCCTGTAAGATTCTAAATGCTCACAAATATTTTCAATCTAAAATCTCATTAAATATTTAAATTATATCTCAAACTAAGAGTTTGTAAAGAATTTTCACTCTAAAACAAAAATTTCACTAGATTAAACTTCCTTTATTCATCACCAGTTTCCTAAGAAATCTTTTACTTTATCATTAAAGTTTTAAGTCCGTTTTATAATTAGTTCTCTTTAAAAAACACACTTTGTAATTCCTGCTGGTACCTGTGAGACGCTGAATAATTTAAAGGAACTCTACCAGCTCATTTGCAACACATCATTCATATCATTTTAGTCATTCTTTTATTATATTTTTTTGCCCCAGAAAGGACACTACAACTCCTTAGAAAGAACAAAGGAAATCCCGTAGTACCAACTCCAGCTCTTCACACTTTTATCACTGTTCAATATATCGTGCTGTAGAAATGGAATGTCCCCATGACACCTTCAGGAACTCTTCTGGTGGATCAACAAAGGAAGTTTTTACAGCTACCCCCTCAAACATGGAACATCGTTACCTGGTCTCCTTCAAACCAGTCTGAAGTAAGTTCTCCTTATAGTACAGTAAGCAGGCAATTAAAATTGTGCTGTAAATCAACACACCTATTGATTCATTCTTTTAAGGAATTCAGGGGTCATTAGTACACTTAGTGCAACTATTTCAAAAGAAAGGAGAAAGAAGACTGCACAAAGCAAATAGTCTTCTATTACCAGCATCAGAGTTGAGAAATCAAACCTAATATAAAAAAAGGACAGCCTCATAAAATACCAGTCAGAATGACTTAAAATCAGTTAGCCATGAAGGAAACTAAAATTTTGCTTTTATATTCGAAACCTGGCAGTAGCTAAGCTCACAAAAATAAGCTTATCCCAGTTAAATATTCTTGATTGTACAATTACACGGAAGGAGTAATCCTTAACCTAGATCTGATTTATAACTCATATGACTTGTTCTAAATGAGGGCATTGAACTAGTGCACATAACCAAACTCCAGTTTCTGAACACTACTTATGTGCTTTCACGTGAAAGAAATATCAAAGAAAAATTTAAAAGCTTTATCTAAATTCATATGAAAAAGCCCCTCTACAGCACAGCAATACTTTCAACCAACTGATGTGTTTCTCCACCAGTAAATCATGTTGTACTTTGGTTAAAATCATCAGGTTGATTATACCTACTTTCTTCACCAATCAATTCAAGGTATTATATAAATAGATCAAACCATATTTCACAAAGTTCAGGTTATCTAAAAATAATGACAATTTCCCACCCGTTAATTTTAAAGTAGGTCATACAAAAAAGGAGGTAAGACCCACAAGTAATTAAAACCAACATGCCCAAGTCTAACCACAGGAGTAGGAGAGAACTTCTCTTCCCACCAGAGTCAGAGCCCACCCAGCTCAAGCACTCGCTTTTCAGTATTTTAGAAAGCAGAAATTCCCAACCCCACAAATAGAAAACAACCCAAAGTTTGAAAAAGGAAAAAAACCAAACCAAAACGTGACATTCCTGTGTCAAGCTTTTTCCCAAATTCAGTGCTGGAACACAGTTCCCCACAGGCAGCAGGTCCATGTGCACAGGGACACGTCACCCAGCACAAACAGCTCTGGGAGAGCTTTCCTTGGCCAGGGCAGGGGCTGACCCAGGAGAGCCACAGCCCTGCTGGGCCCTGAAACCTCTCTGAGAAGTCCTGGTTCCAAAGCCTGGGGAGGTGGGGCTCTCTGAAAACACCACAGAGTATTTTAAGGTACCAATAACTGAGAGGAGGTTAATTACTGGATATTGTTCTCAAAAAAACATTTGGGGGGAATCCCCATTGGGAGCAGCAGGAGCTGCTGTAAATCCCACAGTCCCTGCACGGACTGGCTCCTCCAGAGTCAAAGCTTTGGGTTCAGCCCTGCACCATTTCACCTCCAAAATCAACAGTACCTCAGAGTTCTGCACCATACAGGTTCACCTCTTCACACAAACCTGTTCACATACAGGCTCAGGGGTGTTGTAGTTCCACTCCACAGGTTCCACCAACCCCTGGCAGTTTCTGAGCTAATGAAAATCACACCTACCTCAATAAGATGCTCTGTTTTTATATTTAGGATACATTTCTTCAAAATAGTCAATGTGTGGAGGCTGGAGGATGTCGAGGGCAGAGAGTACCTAGGAAACACCACACAAGGTCAAGGCCTATTCCAGTCAAACAAAATAAATCCCTTTCAAAAAGACAGTCAGACTGCACCTTCCTGACATGACTTTGCTTTATTCTGCCCCACAAACAGACCAACATTCTGTCTCACCAGGTATGAGAGAGCAATAAACTCCAACACAGGGCAGAGGGCGATGGGGTATAAAAAAACTCAGCACTGAAAGTGTGCCCAGCTGGCACAGCTCTGGGCAGCCTGACTGTTATCTAAGGCCTGAAATAAGATTGGGCAGAATTGTATTCACTGTCCATTTGCAAACATTTTGGAAGGGCAATTATGAATATCCTTCGATTCTTTATAATTTCATTTTCATAGTAACAGTAACATCTGAGTTTCCAGAAAAGCTGATAACTGTAAAATTAGAGAGCTCTTAAAGCATTTTAGATACTCTGCAACTTAAAAGAAAACACATTTCAGTTACAGAGAGCTCCATTTTACATTCAGGTTTTATCAAAGATTTCAAAATTACTTTGAATTTACTTACATTGTCATGCTTAAAAAAACACAACATCTTCAACTCCCGGAAGACCCTTTTACAAGAGACCAAATTTTGGAAGACGTTGGGCATCTTTTTGAGTGCAACTCTCTTTCCATCCCGTGGATCTGTTACTGACCTACAGAATAAAAGATTTAGAACATCACATACTCCTGCTAGACAATTTTTCTAAATAAGAAAAGAATATTTTAGAGTTCTTGTCATTCTCAACTCAGACAGGGAGTCAAAACAGGGTGAAGACGAGTCTAGAGAAAAAAGCATTAATCCAAGGGCATTAAGCACTGTCCCCAGAGCCTGTGTGCCACCACTGGGATCCCTCCTTGCTCAGAGCCCACACCCCCCAGCCACCTCAGAGGCTCTCCAGTGGTCACACACCAGTGTCCATTGCTTTATTCTTCCTCTCCTACGAGGGAAAAACACGTAACAATCCCATTCTGACAGAACATTGGCAAGTGTAAGACTAGTTATCACCAAATCACCTCACATCTGGAGAAGCAACAGCACATGGTATCTAAGTTTTCACACATGTAAAACAGGTGTAATACTGGTCTTTCTCCCACAGAACTTATGGGATGCAAGTATAGTAGCTCAGAAATTATAAGGTGCTTTGCACATGGCAAGTATTTTAATTTAAAATAATTAGATTCTGAAAATAGAATTTTATAATAAGAACCATAAAACTAGAGCAAGGAGATTATGGTGCCTCAATTCCCAATCCCAGTTTTTAAGGTGAGCTTCTCAAACCTCACTACAGAACAAAGTATATGCATATTTTTGCTGGGATGACCAAAATAACTTTAATCTCAGTGCAATGCTAACCCACAGAAGAATCTACACCCAGCTGTGTATCCCAATGACTACGCTGTCCTCAAAAAGTTCCTGGCTTTTCTCTCTCTCATGCAATTCCTCTACAGTGGACACCCAAGGCAGCTTCTTCTGTCTCACATCCTTGTTGTTTAAAATATCTTGGTAAAAAATGAGACTGGAGTGTTCAACCAGTCCCCTTAGCTCCAAGTGCCACATCTGATTCCAAAACACAAACCAGCTCAGTCCCAGCACCTCGTCCAGACACCTGTTAACCTGTTAAATGTTAACATTCCTGTTTTAACCAAGGGGCAGAGGGGACTTGGGAAAGGTGGTGTCAGACTATTTGTATGGTGGGAAATGGCTAAAAGGAATCTGAAAAGGTCTTCTATTCCATGATATATTCCCCATGTTCTCCAGGACCTTTGCCTCTGCTCACACAGCTCTGCACTCCCACAGGCCACACTGAAACATCCCCCACACCACACAGGGACTGCACCCAGAGGGCACAGGGACCTCGGGAACACACCTGCAAACCCAGGTTATTATTCAGCACCATTTAGCACACTCTGGGCTGGCCTGTGGCTTTAGGGTCCAGCAGAGGCAGAGTCTGAAGGACACACACACACACAGGGGCCAGGCCAGGCAGTGGCTCACAAATTCACATCAATGTGATCCCAGCAGGAGCTCAGAGCTCCCACAGTTCACAAGGTCAGGCACCACTGATCAGCTAATTAGTGGCATTTTCTCTTTAGGAGGTAGGATTTCTGGCCCCCACCAAGTTTTACCAGCTTTAAAGGGAAAAAAAAAAGGGCAGCAAGACACCAAACCTCTAACCTGCTAAAGTCAAGGTAAAAGGTGCTGGGTCCTGGGAATTAAACAAGATATCATTAAATAGATATATTTGCTCCAAAATCAAAGGTGTAAAATTTCATTCATAAAGCTCCTCCCTGAAGACACTGCAGATGGCACTGATTTACTCTCTTTCCCATTGGAGCTCTCACACTGTTGCTGACCACACACACACACACAGCTGCTGCCAGGAGGATACTCCTGGATGGGCAGAATTCCAGGAGAGGATCCCAGTGATCACACACTGAGGTATCACACAGGTGTGAGGCCCGAGGCCTTTGACAACATGACACTTCCTCACAAAGGACTGGTAATGCCCAGGCAGAACACCAGCATGTTCTATTTGACAGCACAGTCACAGGAGCTGAAGGACTATCTTGGCTATAAAAACATGACACTCAGACTCTTCAGCATTTATTTTATGCTGTATTATGGCATGTTTCGGGCACAATCTGCATTTCCAGGCAGGGTCTGAAACTTAATACATTTACTGATGCCCATTTTTTCTAGTTGTGGGACCCTTTTTGAGACTCAAAAATTGCTGAACGTGTTGCGGAGCTGCTGAAGTTCCCCTCAGCTGTGCACATCAGGCCTGGTGTGGCTGTTCTCTGCTTTTCCAAATGCTTCCATCCAGTACCAATTCATTTTTCCTGGTGCCCTAGGGTAGTGTCCCATAGAGGAAGCAGTTAAACAGGGTTGCTGGGGCATTTGCATTTAAGGCCAATTTCTCTTTTTCTCTTAAATAACCCACTTCTACAGACAAGTGATGCTCACCTGCAGTATCCAGCTGGGAAGAAATTCCTCTGCTCTTTCCCCCAGTAGCTGCAGCAATGTCACCCTGCCCCTCACCTCCCTGCCTTGGGAGCTTTGTACCATTCACCAGCAATTTCACTTCAAGGGGCAGCACAAAACTAACAGCCCAAGTTCTGAAGATCAGAACTGTCAGGCCTGAATTCCAAAGAACAGAAACAAGAAAGGAAGAAAGAAAATAGCCTGTTTGAAAACCTGGTATTTACAGCATCCAAAAAAAGATGCTGAAAATGTTGCTTTGTGTTTGTGTACAGTACTTACTTTGATACTAGCAAAATCATTATTTATAGCAATATGCTATCGGGTCACACATCCCCAAGAGAAACTAGAAAAGCAGGAAAATCTCCTAGGAGCTAATTGAGAGAACAGCTAGAAAGGCAGCTTTACTTACTGCTGCTCTCAGAAGAACACGTTTCAATTCCCTCCTCTGCTCTGTGAGGACATTCCAGCCCGGGTGAATCCCGCAGCAAAGGGCCCAGCAGGCAGGAGTGATCCACCACTCAGCACAGCCTGGGCTTTCAAGATACTACTGAAGGCTCAAAGGGTTCGCTTATTAAGCACCAACTGTAGCTGGGGATAAGGAGATCAGAGACCAAGATTTGAACCAAAAATAACTTAGCAAAAATTATATATAGATATGGGGCAAAAAATAAGTTAATAAATAGAATTTGGAAGTGTGGGGGAATATGAAGGCAGACAGTTCAGCTGTCACCAAGCCTTTAGGAGTGACACAGAACAGACCCGGAGCCGGCAGATCTGGCACCAAACACCACGAGTGGAGTCACCCCAGAGCCCCCTCAGAGCCCCCCATCCCTCGAGGTGACAGAGCTGGGCCAGCACAGGGCTGGGGCAAAGGGCCACACGGAGAGTTCTGGGGAGCAGGTCACAAGCACAGCAGCAGAGCAGGCCCTGGGTCCTGCCAGTGCAGCCCTTGAACTGCAGCTGGGTGCCCTGTGCAGAAGGGCCTCTCTTCTGCCATCAGAAACCTCTTGTTTTGCTGATTATACATAATATACATATACGTCTTATTTAAGAACTACAGTAAAAGTTTATAAAATAGTCTGACATGAAACATACCAAGAAAAAAGATGCTTTACAAAACCTGCAGCTTCTACTTACATTGCAGGCTAATCATGCCAGAAATAATACAACTTTAAAAAGTAATAGGACTATAGAAGGGATTAATGACACAATCCAGACCTCTAGTTAAATGTTTTCAAAGACAATCCTTATCTCAAAGAATCCTTGCGGGCATTCAGGCGTTTCAATTACGCATTATGAGCCTTTAGCAACTCTCTGCCCTGCTGATGGCAAGTTTTCAAGGTGGAGACTTCGCCAACAGTGACTTTTTCTCTCCCCGAATCCAGGTCAAGGCATACACATTGTTCTGTAGTTTCAACTGGTAGAAAAACAAGTTTGTGACTGCTCCGTGCAATTATTACACAGGAGCGAGATAATGAAAGAATGTTCTCAGGGGCGGTGTGGGAAACTGCTGGGAGTTTGTTCTACAGGGGAAGCCAGCCTGCCTTCACATATAGAACACCTATAAACTCACATCAGGACTTACCAGAAGGAGGGGGATTTAACAGGATTACTCTGCAAGTTTTTCTTATTAGTCAGTGAACTTTTTTCCTCAGTTGCTTGACTCTTAATCACCCAGGCTTTTCCAGAAAGCCTTACTCTGAGACATGTAACCGCCCTGGTCCCACCAGCATTTCAGCTGCTCACCCAGGCATGTTTGACACACCACTTCTAAACAAATAACGCAGCTCATACTCAAGGGCATGTGACACCAACACAGCATTTCTTCAGTACACGGTGCTGCAATCAATCACAGCTTGGCATATCTCAAAATATGGGATGACATTAAAAATCTTAGGAACATTCACAAACCCAAAAGACTCCCAAGACTAAAGCAGAAAGGCACGGAAAGGGTGTGCAGTTATCAAATCTCTTATCTGGGAAATGCTTGATTTGGCACATAAAATCTGCACACGGAATAGGCCATGACACCCAGAACCTTATTCTCTGTAGAATCACTGCCAGGCACTGAGCCCTACCAAAACATGACAAAAACTGATCTACAACATTTAGTGGACTATCGGGTAGCAGAGGCAGAGGTGAGGAAAGCAAGCACATAAGTGTGAAATCATTGAGAAAATAAAAGAGTGTATGTATACACATTTAACAGTGGATTTCTTACTGAAGGAAAAAAGCACATACACTGAATTTTTAAGCAAAGGAAAGCAGCTGCTTTACCAGTTTGCTATTATAGAGACTCACACACCACTGAGACAGGACAAAGGTGACGTTCCAGACTCTCCAATGACCCTGCCTATTAACAGCAGCACTGTGTCAGATCACAGACTGGACAGTCCATCTGGAACCATCCCACACTGGTTCGTGACCCACCAGTGTTCACCAGCACACATAAACCACATTTTAAGGCTCTGTGACAATTCCTAATGGAAGTTAAATTATTCAAATGCTAAATGGTTTTGTCCAACTTCAGCAGCCTGTCAGTTTTCCAGCCCAAAGCTCCAAGTGTGGCTCCCTGACCTGGGGAATGGCTGCTGCCAGCTCCAGCCTGCAAACAGCTGTGCTGGCACAGGGACACAGGGAGCAGGGAACAAGGCCCTGAGACAAA